GTGTGATTCTAAATAATTTTTGTTTAGTAACGATTTTAATTTAGGGCTGGGTTTTTGTGAGAATTTGATGTTGACAGGAATATTGTGTTTAATGGCTAGTTTTGTCCAAGTGTGGATAATTCTTGAGCTGGTTTTTCTTCATTACCCATTCAAGCCATCTCCAACCATTATTAGACTCAAAGTGGGTTCTTCGTCATTGAAATAGATTATAGAAATTAACTGGTAGCATTCTTGTTTCAGAAGATGATATGAACTTGTCTAAAGTACTTATTCATGATTGAATTTAACTTTTATATAATGATTTATTAACTATGGGGGCCCGGCATGGCCAGGTGGTTAGGGAGCTCGACTCACAATCTGCAGGTCGTGGGTTCGAATTTCCGTCACACCAAACATGCTCGTCCTTTCAGCTGTGGGGGCATTATAATGTGATGGTCAATTCCACTATTCGTTGGTAAAAGAGAAGCCCAAGAGTTTGCAGTGGGTGATGATGACTAGCTGCCTTCCCTCTAGTCTCACACTGCTAAATTAGGGACGGTTAGCGCAGATAGCCCTCATGCAGCTTTCAAATTCAAAACAAACAAAATTAACTATGGGCTTTGATTTTCTATTGTTTTTATATTTAATTCCTCTTTCCTTTTGGTACTCAGTAATAAATTGTTGTTTTGGTAACATCATGTTTGTGTATTGGAATACCCCCTCATAACAGATTAAATATTGGGGAAAATCACAAATCTTGAGAAAGTAAAAATCACCACTTAGTATTCAGGAAAATGCTGTGAAGTCTTTAAGTAGCTGGTTTTATTTGTTTTATGGGACATAACACCTTCCCAACAAATTATAGAAGACTATTTTTATCCATAATGTTGTGTTGCTTGATTGAAAGTTTTACTAAGTATGTCAGTAACATTTAACTTATTAATAATATATATGGTTCACTTAATATTATTGCCATTCTATTTACAATTTTAAATTGGATCTTATGTTATGCTGTTTAGAACTTCACCCATATTTATGTATATTCTGGGTGAATTATGTGAAAATAAGGTGCTGGTTAATAATAATCACAGTACAATTTTACATAATTTATGAATAGTTTTACATTTAAAATCCTGAAGGAAAATAGAGCTGAATTAGTGTAGGACCATGATGTGGGAAGTATTTATAAACCTTATGAGTGATACGCCACATTGGTTAATAATTGTGGAGTGTATTGTTAGTGAGAAATGAATTATTTTTTACCTATCAAAAACCTATTATTTCTCTTTTCATGAATAATGACATTGGTGAAAAATTTGTAGACATAGTTGTATTAACACACAGGTGTATAGCAGTAAATATCAAACCAGCTTTATAGAATCTGATCATACATAATGAGTAAAGGAAGTAATGGTCAACTCTTAGACCGTGATGAAGTTTGTGTTTCAATAAATCATTATTACCTTTTTTTTTGGAGAATAAGAACCTACTAAATCTTTTTTGTAGGCTTCTTTTTGAATTAATGCTTTAAAAGAACTGTGATTCAAATTATTTTTTTCAGTTTTCTATTTTAAATATATTTATGTATGGAGAACTAAATTAGGATTTTTAATTTTTTTCTGCCTAAAAGATAAATAGGAGATTGTTATATACCATTGTTATTTACTTGTAGGTATAAACCATTTTTTATTTAATAACTACTATGTCTAAATGTCTGTATCTTTAATGCAGGATGAAGAAGAAGGTTGAATGGATGAATGATATTAAAGTACAGTTACCTAGCGGACTAGATAAACCTCATTCGGTAAGCTTGAGTAACCATTTCGAAAACTATATTCTAACTAAATATGTGTATTCTAATAGAGTGTCAGATTCTTTTGACACTGATCGGTATAAGCATGCGGTTCACATGAGACTTTGAGCTATACCTGCCCTTGTAGTTAGTCGTGACAAGAAGATGCAAGTTATATGAAATTTTCTGATAAATGACAAAACATTGTAATCAGATTTGATCAGTGTAACAGTTGGATGATTTTTCTAGTAACGAATAAAACATGGAGTCAGTGTAACCATATGATAACTCGTGTAGTAAAGAGCTAAAATACTGGCAGAGACTTTAATAGTCAAATCCTATCACATGACAAGTTGTGACTAAAACATAGTCACATATAGTCAGTGTAATGTATAATTTTTGTGTCATTATGACTAAAATACATGGCAATGGAATGACAATAATAAGGAGAAAAAAACATGGGGTATTAAATTGTAAGTACATAATTACTTGTTTGGCAAAATATGTGGAATGTGGTTCACATTATCAGGATTTCTGCAATACATTTGTGTATTAAGGAATAAAACTTAGCTTTGTAGATGATCAGCATAGATGTAGTTGTCCTAAGTACAAAGATATAGTAACTTCAACTGTGCAGAACACATTTTATACAATTCTAAAAAAACATAAAAACAAAACTTGAAACTAGAAAAATTGATGCAAGTCTATAAATTTTTGTTATGGTATATTTAAAGGTTGCTGTGAATGATTATTACAGGATGGAGATCACACAGAGAGAACTGTTGTTAGAAAAACAGTCCACATAAGTCTTTATTCACAAAGATAAAGTTGATTTATTTGGGTATAGTGAATACATTATAACATTTTCTCACTGGTAAAGAAAGCCTAGATACGTCAATACAGGATTTATCAGAATGTACTCTGATAAAGAAGATTTGCACAACTACAAATAATATGTTATTTCCTGTAAGCAAATATATTTAAAGCAGATTAAGAAATTAAAACTGAGTGAGCTATTAATGTACACTACTTGCAGATAATGATTGCTGTCTTAATACTTTGTTTTAAGGCAGAAAGGTTAAGTTTCTTGTCTAGTGTCTCATAGAATTTGTTGATTGTGGTTAGTCTTTGATGCACACTTTTTTTATTTACTATGATGACAAAATATTCAAAGTGTTGTATGTATGAATAAGTTAAGTATTTGAGTTAGAATGTATTCTATAAACTTATATTTCATGTGCTTATGTTAGTTAATTGGAATAATCCTGTACATTTTGAATTATGAAATAGAAATTCATCACAGTTACTCAGTTTAAGACTGAGTATGTAGTATGTTTTAGATATACTTATATATATATATATAGTATATTTTTGTCAATTTTATGAATTACTTAAGTTTAAATACCCAAGTCTAGATATATGTGTATATTTGCGTAAGCAGACTTGGTTTTAACTTGAGAACCTTGAATGGTAATTTATTAGAGTTTACATGAATCAAGTTTTAATTGTAGATTATTAATTTGTGTTTATATGTGTGTGAATAGGACTGTTTAATGTTTATACATTACTAGTGTTCTTTATAATTTGAATGAGTCAACTTTTAATTTGAAGGTCTTGGTTTATGTTCAAGTCTGTGTGGGTCAGACTGGTTTAAAATTCACAATCTTGGGTTGAAATGTGCATTGTTAATGTTTCAGAATTTTATTCAATCAACTTTTTAATTTTGGTTTTGAATATTCATTGCTTTTTCTTCAAGTCTTAGTGAGTCAAATTTCAGTTTTGGGACCTTGGTTTTTGTCCATAAACATGTAGATAGGTTTGGTTTAAAATTAAAAATAATGGGTTTGATATGTAACAGTTATATTAAAGTTTTGTAGCTCAATCGGTTCATTGGTGTAATGAGGGACAATGAGTCTGGTGTTTTTTGTACATAATTGATTAAACTGAACTTGATGAATGTTATTATTCTGTTCTATTACCATACTGATATATATATAACAAAGTTTATAAATCCTATGTTACTATTGATTGTCATAGTTGTTGTAGTATTTTTCAAGTTTGTACTGCAGTATTATTTTCAGGTAAGTTAAAATGTGCATGTAACCGTGAGCATGACTTGTTTTTTAACTTATTCTTTAATAGCTTAAGTTAACAGTTATCTGAGCATGTATACAGAGGACTAACTAATGAGAATGTTGAGAGAATGTGGAAAAAGCATGGTATATGATAACAGGAATGGCTTACTAATATGTATGTATGTTATGCATGATAATGTTTATTGTTGCTGACCTAACCCTTCCTCCCCAACAGCATCCATTCAGTGACTATCATAAGTTTAAAAGAGACCTGATCAGAAATGGCAGTTACCCTAACACGAGTTCTACATTTGACCATCTCAGTTCCTTCTCTGATATAGCTGATTTCAAGGAGAAACAAGGGTCACTCAATTCCCATTATAGCAGCTCTTCAACAGATGAGGTAAAAAGCTTCTTAGCATATATGCATGGCTAGATTGTTTTTTGTCATTATCAATTTGGGTAATTGAAATGTGCAATTTGTTGATCTATAAGATAATATTGCAGATTGTCGTCAACGTCTTTGTTAATTTGCCTCTATTATGTTTCACTTCATTATCCTTCACTGGTCTTTGTCTGCAAAAGAAGAAATTATTTTCAGTTATAATGTAGAGAGAAATTTTGTGTTAACCCTATTTTTGATTTCTTATCAGTATGTTCTTGTAATGAAATTTTTAGTTTTAAGCCATAGAATAGGTGTTTGATGTTTTTGTTCCTATGCATATACATTATGAAACATTGTAAATAACATTCCTATTTTTAATCTTTTAATCTTCAAAGGCATACATTGTAGTATTTAATTGATATCCCACTAAGAGTATTTGAAATTTTTATAGCTGGTACACAAGAAGTCAAGACTATGTGACAAATACAGAAGAAATCACAGTAGTGACAGCAATGATATAACTTTGCTAGGTGGTCATGAGAGTGTATCGTCAGTTGCTAATCGTACTCATTTCTCATCAGACTCTGGTACTGAGATTGATCTTCATCCTCCCCTATCTCCTGAAGATAGTCAGCCAGAAAGTTCTAATCACACACCCCTGTCTTCTGGACCAGGTCTTTCCAAAGTGGAAGAAATTTATAATACTGATAGTAGGGATTCAGGCCTAGATCATGATCAATTGGATGATAGCAGGGAAAAATGGCCTATATCAGGGACTCAAGCTCAACATCCCTACAAAAGATTTGATCAAGTTATAGGGTATGTTCCACTCCCCAGCCAGAACACTAATATAACTTCAAGCCATCTTCTTGCCAATAGTGAGCCCTCCATTCATGATGATGAGGGAGTAACAGCTGAAGATGGTTCATGTTATTCAAGATTTGGTTTAGCCAAGAGTGTTGGAAGTGTCATGGAAGAAAGCAGAGTTCCCCAATCTGCCCCAGGAGAAGATTTGCCTAATACTTTAAGCTATTCTAAATTTGGTGTAATATCCCCTACCAGTCATGAAAGACACAGGAACCCAACAGTTGGTTTAGTTCTGAATCATTCTAGGCCTTTTCAAAACTCTCAAAATAATTGTTTGGATCCAGTAAGAGGTTCAAACCAACCTGTGTCTAAAATGTATGTTACTGTGCCCCAGACTAACAACTTTATTGTTCCACACTCTGTGGTAGAACCCATCAAGCCAGGTTTGTATTCAGATTTTGGAGTTGAGTCAAAAGCTACAGAATCTCCTCTCATCTCATCTGGCTATGTGCAAATACAGGATAACTTCAATCCAGAATTCTTACCAGAAGGAGACAATATTGATAACAAAGGGTATTCTAGATTTGCATTGGACCCGATTCCTGATAATGATCATTGCAAGCCATTACCCTCTGATGCTCATCCAGATCTAGATGAAACTTCTTCTCCTTCTGTAAGTTGCCTTAATGGTGTAGCATCATTTCCACAAAAAAACAGTAATATTGATCATGTAAAGTCTCCTGATTCTTTTTTGTATGAAGCTGATTGCTGTAGTAATGAGAATATTGCTCCTGTGGTTGGTGGCTTTCCCAGTAATGGATATGTGCAGTGTCCCATTCATCAGTACAGAGCAAGTGAACAGTTAGAAGATTTGGACTTAGAGACTCCAGAATGGACAAGTACAAGTAATAATTCAGCTAAAGCTTTAGAAAGTTCTGATCCAAATCTTTTGTCAATTGAGGTTCCTCCTAGAAACCTCTCTGGCAAAAATAATGGCTATGTGTCTTGGGGTAATGCTGTTCAGGATCAAGATGTGCCAGAAAAGAAAAGCACCACCATGGCAGGGTTGATAGGTGGTATTAATGAGTCAGAAGAGCGAATTCAATTTCAGGACACAGTAATATAAAAAATAGGTGAACTAAAGTGTTTTCACATTATGTGGGCATTGTCTATACTAGGATGTTATAATATACGAGTTATTAGTACCCACAATAAGATATGTGAAGTTATATATGCAATGGAAGGGGACTTTATAAGTCATAAGAACTACTACAAACAATGAGAATATGTGAATGTTTGGTACAAATATTTAGAGTGCATTTTTATTTCAAGGTTTTTGCTTTACTCTAAATACACTTAAATGTTTTCATTAAGGTTTACTTTCAAATTTGAAGTCTTGTAGTAAGGGAAATTGATGATTAAATATACGACATATGAAGATCTGGTAAGTTTGATTGTGGTATCTAAAACATATTCAAGAATGTTTTTGTTTTTTTCATATTTGAGCATATGAGAATATCCTTTATAGTAAATTAAAGAAAATGTTTAGTTTTAATACAGTATTTATTTTTCAAATAATAATAAATAGAATAGGTGTTGTGTGGTTGAAAAAGTTAGCCATTTTTATAAATCCATACGTGTCTTGCATTCATCTCATTTCAGCTGTTTGGAATTTTTTTCCATTATTGTTTAGATTTAGTGGAAAAACCTTAATCAGTTGCAACATTTGCAATTTTCATATAATATTATAGATACTGTGCCAAAGTGTTCTTTGCTCCTCATCACCACAGACTAAAGAAGTGTGCCTTTTTTTTTTCATTGTGAGTGTCAGCAAAGTGTCACTGTTTGATAAAAAAATATTTTGGTATTTCAGGTATCTTTAACGTTAGGAAAAACTATTAACATGTGTTTAAGGAATTTCAGGCAATTCATTAATTATAAGGTCATGACTGGATTTGTTAAATTAATTAAAGCAATTACTAATAATTGTTTTATTTTTTGAAAGAGATAATAGTTAAAAAATACCACTCCAAACATAGTATTTCCAAAAATGAGTGGTTTCAAAAGATACTTAAATTGAACTTTTGAAAAGCTGAGAAAAATAGTTTCCATTGAAGTACTGTAAACAGACGTTTTTTGTTTTTTTAAGTAGGATAGAAACTATATAAATCGTGTTTTAGGAGATTGACAGTAGAATTTTAAATTTAATTTTTGTCAGATGAGTTAAAAATATAAATTTGTATTCTCATTATTGTGTATTTTCATTATTGAATATTATAGAATATTTTTGTTTCGTTTTTACAAAAAAATTCTGAGATTCAGATAAAACACAGAATGAAATGACATACGCTTAATGCAAGTTTGATCAAGAGTAGCATGCTAGTTGTTTAACTCGGGTCTATAGTTCATCCAGTAGTAACACAATAATTTTTACTCATGATTGTATACAATGTGTTGCTTTGAGATAAGTAAAAGAACCTCCTGTATTAATATAATTCATCCTTCACAATTTTCTGGTGATAAAATTGGGTGTTTTGGTGATGGTCCTTTGATTTGTGATGAAATAATTTACTTAGGACAAGTTGACTTTGATTTTATTATATTCAAGCCACCTGCAAAATAAGCATGACTTAAGAACTCTGTTTTAATCTGTAGCTGTCAAAACATAAGCTACTTGTAGTGTGTGTGTGTGTGTATATATGTAAATTTTTCTTTCTTTTACTTCTATTTAGTTATTATAAAATATATGTACTGAATAATTTAAATAGAAAGTTATGGTTTACATGCTGAAAGTTGGAGAAGCATTAGAAACCAATAGGCCTAAGATTTGTGATAAAAATCACGTTAAAATATTATGTATTTATAAATGGCATTTAAGAGAGTCTTTTGTTTCTCATTTCAGTCCGACTGACAAGTTCTGGTATTGAATGAAAGGCCTCTTGGGCAGTGACTTGTAGGAGACAAAAGATAGATCTGAAATGTTATTTTTACATGCTTCTAATGTTGAATCTGTAAAGGAAAAATTAAGAGGAATGAGGAAAACAATCATCTGAGTTTAACATGATTTTGATCACAAATCTTAGGCCTAAATAGGAAGTTGTTTTTCTTAGCAAGCCTGAAAATCATATTCTTTATACCATAGTTCAATGTCTTTATAAGATTAGACAAAAGTTTGGTGGGTAAAATCTTGAGAGGTACTATAAGTATAAGATAAAAGAAATACTTCCATGTTCTTTGTTAAACAAAGAACTCAAGAACTGTTTTACTCTATAGTTGTGATCACTTAAGTCTTGTTTCGTAGTGTACATTTGATTTTACTATAAATGCAAATGCAGGTGATTGAAATATTGCTTTAAACTTTTGTACACATACATGAGCTATTTACATTCTTGAAATCACATATTTTCATATGACCTTTGTAAGGTTAGAGCTCAGAAATTAAGATATTAAGGTGAACTGTATAATATATGCTAATAATTGTTATTTTTATGCTAAAACTTTTTTTCCTTTTAACTATTAAAATGATGTAAAGAAATACAAAGGTCTTAACTTGGAATGACTGAGAAGAATGAAAAATATTTGAAAGGCAAATAGTTTTATCGTTTTTTCAGATTTGTATTATGTGAAGTGTAATGTTCTCTTAAGCTATTCTCACACCTTTTAAGAACTTGTAATTATGAAAAAAGTTTGTAAGACTGTTTTGTATTTCGTATACCTCACCAGAAAACTTAATCACTATTTGAAATAAAGTGTATGGTATAAATTTTGGGAGAGTGTATATACATATATATGTATATAAATCCTACCTCTCTATACTTTATTAGATAAATATTAAATAGTAAGGAGATTAGGTTATATGATAATAGATTTTATACACTTACTTAGTTGTATTTGTAAATGCAATTTCGCTCACTAATCTGAGGCCAGTGGTGGTTTGTTTGTTCACCATCAATTGTGCTTTAAGAGATTACATCTCGTACGTAGTACAAGGAAGTCTGGGAAATTTTTGTGTAAGTAGAATCTGTCTTTTAGAATGTATGTAGTACACGTGGAGTCTCTCTCTGTGTTTGTAGTTTAGAGGTGTTAAAATGCACACTTACATTTGCGTTGTTTATTTTAAATAGCTGGTATACACACCAATGGCCAACAGTGGAGAGCAACTATATAAATGTTGCTGGTTTAGCAAAGCCATGTTTCCCATAAACCTCCAATTTAGAAGAATTAACTGTCGAATGTAGAGTAAACCATCCTATTCTTAATCCAAATGTTTATCGTGGAAGTAATGCCTTTTCCCATGTTAGATTTGATGCCAATATATATATATATATATATATATATATCTCTACGTTTTCTAATTACTATTCAGTTGGATCTAAATTTTATAGTCAGCATGATTACATACTTGTAATTATATGTAAGTTTAATGTACATCTATAGATAAACTTAACTTATTGGCAATTGAAGGAAATTCGTGTTTAAGAGGTAATAGCTTAAGATTGAAATACGAGGAGAGAAATATTGAAAATTGCTGTTAAGTAGTATTTTAACCTATGAAATATCGAAAGATATTGAGCTTTACCTCAAGTAGGTCTGTTTGCTTAAAATTGCTGTCAGAACAATTTTAAGAAAATAATTGAATATAGCTTTCAGTACTTTACATTTCTGAGATTTTAACCCTAAATTCTGGTTATGATTTATGTCAGATAGCCGTATTAGTAACAATATATATATTTATATAATGGTGATAAAATTGTGCAAGATGAGAATTTATTTTTACTATAAGATATCTAGGTAAATATATAATCATAGTTCGCTTTATAATTTATGTTTCCGTTTAACCTAATTCGTCCATAAAAACATGCTACAAGTGTATACAAATTGCGATTTAGAACGAATACGCGTCACTAGAATCCGATGTTCAAAGGTAAATCTATATGTAACTATTAATTTAAACCATTAAAATTGAATGACGTTTTCATATTTTTAAAGAGCAGTCTAGCTGTCGCATCAGTTATGGAGAGCTCTTATACTGTCATTGGTTTTACCTGTTAGAAAACCTTATTACTGAAACCCAATACTTCAGCAGATTTTTTATTAAAGCCAGTTACTGCTTGAAATATTAACAATAGATTCTTTCTGTCAGAAAATATTTAGGCCTCATATCCGTATGTTGTAATTAACTCATTTGTTAAGCCAAAGAATATTTTGTATTGTTTTAGAGTAATCGTTTTTTTTTGTTGTTGTTTTTTTTTTACATTGTGTATTTGTGTGTACAATTAATTAGGAAACTACTGTACAGTCATTACTAATATAATATTTACATTTCATATGGCCTTTGTTATGTAAGGAAAAACAAAACAGGAATTTTAATGATCACCAGTATTCTGAATTTAGGTACTGTCGTGTGTTGATGTGTTATTTTTGTATGATTGTCTTTATTCATTTTAGTTACGTTTATTTGTAGTGCGTGTTTTCAGCAATGTATGCTTTTAAACTGCTATATATTGTAGTTTATCTCATAAAAAGCAGAATATAACTGAATAAAAAAAGTATTCAAAACTATTCACGTTCTGTGATTTTATTTAGTGTTTGTAAATCTTGATTAAATACATTCATGTTTTAATGAGAGTTATTTAACAAGTAATAAAAAAAGGAGAAGTTTGCTTAGAATTTCCGCGTAAAACTACATATCATTAAAGGACAAAAAGGGACCTTTGGTCCATCAAGACTGTCCTATTCACCAAATTAAACTGAACCAGAAAACAACCTCAAAGCCAACCTCATTCAAGTATTAAACAAGCTTGTCCTTAAACTTCCTTAAATTAACTGCATTTACCACATCCGAAAGCAACCGTTTTAGGGGACAACCGCCTTCTTAGAAATATAAAACTGTCTTAGTTGAAGATTGCTTCTTCCCCGCTAAATTTAATATATGTGTCCCCTGGAAAAAAGATGATGCATCAACGCTATCAATTCCATTAACAATCTTGAATACCTCAATCAGATCCCTTCTAGCTGTTCTTTTTTTCAAGAGGAAACAAGTTCAGAGATCTTTACCCCATACGATAACATTTCCATCCCATGTGTCATCCTAGTAGTGCTCTTCTGAACCGTTTCCAATAATTCAAAGTCCTTTCTAAGGTAAGAAGCCCAAGATTGAACAATACTCTAAATGTGGCCTGACCAATGACCTATATATTATAACCTCTTGTATTCAATATTTTATGTAGATACAACCTAAAATCTCATTTGCTCTTCCACTAGCAATGGCACATTACTTGGATGGCTTAAGCGTTTGACAAATCAGAATACATTTAACGTTATTCCCATCAAAATTATACTCATAATTCATCCAACATGTATTACTTTGAATTGATTATAATTAACTTACCATTTATTCGTCCAGCTCACCTAATAATCCAAATCCTTTTGTAAGGCAGTAGCATCCTCTTCATAGCCAGCAATACCCAAAACTAATGTCATAAGCAAATTTAAATAATTTATTAACCATTCTTTAATCAATGTCATTTATGTAGATCAAAAAGAGCCAATGTTCTAATACTGAGCCCTGAGGTACCCTACTCGTGACATTAATCCAAGTTGACTAAACTCCATTTATAACAACCACCTCCTTTCTTCCATCTAGCCAGCTTTCTTTCCAATGAGCCAACCTATTCCCAACGTAAAGACTATCTTTGCATTTCCGTCCCTAATATTGAACTAATATACTTGAAGAGAAGGCAGCTAATCAAAAGCATTCACCGCCTACTCTTGGACTACTATTGTCCGACCGAATACAGGGATTCGACTGTCAAGCTTTTAGCACACGACCCAATCCGCTTTTGGCAGTAATTTTGGTTTGAAAATCTTACAAGCCCCGAAGGGGCTTGAGAGACAATCAGGGCCACTCAGAAACTGTTAATTCTCTTCGCCCTGGACACGACCCAAAAGTGCTGTGTGTTTCTATAGAAACTGTAGCAAGTCATGAACCGATACTTATTTTGATAGTTTTATACATGGTGCTTTCTTTCGTCATTATAAAGATGATTATGGTCGTTAGTGTTTGTTAATTTCAAGTGGTGATGAACGCACTCAAGTTTTTCCATCGGGAATCGTCGGCAACTCTGGTTGCAAACATTGAATAAGATAAAACATATCTTGTCACGTGACATCCAGTGGTGTTTTTAAGGTGCACTGATTTCCCTTAGAATAATGGAGTAGGATCCTCAGAATAACAGGAGGTTTGAGCAGAAAATGTTACACACAGTTGAACTATATTCTTTAAATTTGAAATGCGAAAAATGAAAGAGACTAGACACAGTGAAACTTTATTCATTTAACAAGACAATCAATGATGACGAGGGACGCCGCCTTTACTGTAAACAGAACTCTCAGCAATATCTGCTGGAAGTTGATGAAAAATTTCTCTGAGACTGAGAAAATAGCATCATTTTTCGTGTATATAATGTCATTCTTTCCCAGAGCAAGTGTGCTAACTACGTTACTGTCGGTCATTGCCATCGAAAAATATGGAAGATTTTGGCATTGCGGTATAATTTGACCTGGCAGTTGAAAAGATCGCCATTTTCATTTTTACGTAGTCTACTGGATATGAAATGTATCAAAATTAGAAGAAAGAACCGATATTTGTCGTTAACGTCACTTTTGTTCCTTTGTGTTCTTGCAACATAGTAGAAAACTAACCAATCCCTTTACTTTTACATTTAGACCCAAAAGTATTTTTATTGGTTAAAATTTGATGTTTTATCTTGGTTAAACGTTGGCTTGTAAGGAAAATGGAATGTGTGTGGCATAGAGTAAAGGGAATTGGAACAGCTGCGAGTAGTAATTTTATTGAAGGCAAAGTTTACTGTACAAAATGACGCCATATGTATTGTGGGCAAAGTGTTGTTAGGCTTCAGTTACAAGCCTGGGTTCTATTGACTTTTTATCAGATTTTTTATTTTCTTTCTTTTTTATGATTTATTATTTTCTTTCTTTAATGTTCAAAGACATAGGTCAAGGTCACAAAATATGAGCTTTTGGCAAACCACTTACCTAGTTCTATTACAGATATTGTTTCGAAAATTTCAGAGAGAAGGGTTTGGGCACGTAAGTTTCCGTTCCTGAAAACCCGATATTTTTCGGCCAGTGTCAGTTAAGGTTAGACTTCAAAAGGCCACACCTCAGATAATTTTGTTTTAGTGTAAAGCTTTACAATGGTTTATCTGCGGGCTGTCCGTCGCGAGGAATCGAACCCTGGATTAGCTAATGTTAACCTGTTTGCTTCTAAACTTCACAGAGGAGGGGGATTTTTATGTTCCTTGCCATCTATATTTTGAGTTTCAAAACACAAATAATATTTGTTAAGATCATAAATTAATACATATAATTGCTGTAGATATTCGTAATATTACACTGGAAGGCTTTTGGGACAGTACTAATGTCAACCTCGATTATGAGTTTTGTAACTGTCAGTTGCTTTTGCTATGTGGCCTAGTTTGACAGTGTATCTCTAATTCAATATGTATAATATATATATACCAGGTCATCCCATAAGTTCTGTCCGGATTTTAATTCTTTGAAATTTACTAGTAATTTAGAATGTTTAATGGAAATAAAAAATATTTATATATCATACATATGTATTTTGGCATATTTAAACTTATTAAATTTTATTTTACAGAATAAAGTATTTCAAATTTCCCTGATTAAAGCCCTTTGAACAAGGAAGTATCTGAGGAGCATTTGAGGCATATAATGCTTTATGAGTTTAAAAAAGGGAACTCTGCAGCCGAAGCGACTCGAAATATTCACTCAGCGTATGGAGAAGAATGCCA